GGGATTATAAAGCATGATCACTATCTTCAAAGGACAATTAGCCAAAGGTAATAATCTTTGTCTTTCTCGAGCCCACACTTTATTTTTGGGATTATTGTTCACCACATCATCATATCGTATTTATATTTCCAGAATTGATGGCCTCCGAAACTGCCTAGAAGTGTCTCTGCCTAGCAGAACTGCACAGGTTAGTCAATTTTGTAGATGTTGTGTTCATGCACTAATCTGAGCTATGATGTTTTTAAGAGTGAAATTAAATCCATTATTGTGGAAAGCCTTAACCTCTTGGGGACCTTCAGCCAATGGTCTATCATTGGTCATTTTCTGGCAAAAGAAGTGCCCAAAATTTATCACTTACAATTACAATCATTTTACTAAGAACTTTTGTAGGACTCTTGTCAACTTTAAGATTCTTTGTTAAGTTACAAATTTATTCTCATAATTTGGTTGGGTCCATTTAATCTCTAAACTTTAAAATGTTTTAATCATAATACGTTCTTGAATTTTGAACCGGTGATTTTATGTAATTCTTATCATTAGCTAAATGATGATATGACATGTCTAACAATGACTAATTTATCGGTGTGACAAATAAATAACAAAATGAAGTGGATAGCTTAATGAATGACATGGTTTATAAAAGAGATTTGATATATTAATTTGAAGAGCATAGGTTATCTATGCCACTTTAATTATTGTCGACTTCTTTCTGACATTTGTAAAATAAGCTTGTCATATCATTATTTAGTTCACGTGATAACGTCATAAAATGCATATAATCATGGTTATAAGTCCATAATATAATTGAAACTATCCTTTTAAGTTTAGAGAGTAATAAGAACCACCAGTCCATGGACTATACTCTCGATTATTTGTTATAGTAATGTAAAAAAACCGATATTGTACTTGCCATATTGTGCATGAAATGTGTTGTTTGGAAGTAGGTAGATGAAGGGCAATTTTCGACCATATCAACGATGCGTTAATTTCGGAACTAAACTCATTTTCCATGTATACTTGTCCGATCTCTCTCTCTCTCTTGCAGGTTTACAAATTAAGTCGGATATTAAGAATATAAGCCATTTTGCAGTCACTTGAAGAAATTTGACAGTTCACAAAAGTTGCTTATCTATGAGTAACTGAGTTATGTCAGCTAGAAAGTCATACCAAAAGGGGCATTATAATAGTGAAGAATCAAACAAGAGCCTGATTTTCCAGTGGTGAGGTAATATGTTGAATCAAAGCCCTATTAGATCAGCTGAAGTTACCTTTGTATTTATGAAATAGGATCACTTGATATTTGCAGGTTTCATTCCCCATTGGCAGCTCTTACAATTTTAATGTTTTCTGTAACAATTTTTATTGTGGTTCTTGTTTTGTGTATTGAACTGATGATGGGTAAGATTATTTCACTCTCTTTTTCTCTCTTTAAAATAGAGAGTAGCCTAAAAGACATTTTTCTCGACATATTTTGCATGAAGTTTGGTCCATATACTCGAGTCAAGTTTGATCTTAATACTTAATAGCCCTCGATTTTATCACATTAAACGCTAAACTTGAGTTATAGTGTTTTTTTTAGTACAACATGTGGGGGTGGATGGGGGTTCGAAACTTCGAACTCACGACCTTCTTTGTAGCTAGATATGAGCATTGGTATGGCTAGATGAAATTATTTTAGTTGGTATTAGGGTTTTTTTTTTCCTTCCATTTGGTATGTTTTTGGGTGGATTCAGATATTTTGTTGTTGAACTTAGATTTTTCTTCTTTCCTTTTTTTCTTTACATGATTCCATTACTAGGTTCAATTATTTTTATGGTTGAATTTGGCATTTTGTAGCTTGATTTGGAGTGTTTTGTTAATTGAATTTTGTGAAGAATAAAATGATTATCAAAGCATTTACTTATTACAAGTAAAATTAAGAAACTTGGAAAAATATAATAATGGAAATCTCCCAACTTTTTACTTAAAATAATTCTTTTTGATAAAATAAATTTTGTATAGCAATTTTAGATCGTTAACTTATAATATTGAAGACAAAAAATAATGTTCTATATTATTGGAATTTTTTAATGGATGTAATGTAATAGTTCAATGAACAAGGTCAGGTTATCTTTTTATAGGCTAAAGAGTTGAAGTGAAAAAAAAAACGTTTATTTTTAAGAAATTTACATAATAGTTATTATTAGTTCAATACAATTGTAAATCGCAATGATTAAAATATTATAATTATTCTTGTAAAAGAGAAAAGGAAAATAACGTGAAAAAAATCCATACATTTTTTGTGTTTTGGAAAATTTCAAATGATAATAGTTTTGTGAGGTTTTATTTAAATTCTGAACTTTCCAGTTTATTTTGTTGTGTGAATTTTGTCCAATTTTAATTTCTAAACTTTCAAAATATTCATTTTAACTCATGAACTAAATAAAAGATTTTTATAACATTATGCATATTAGCTTACTTATTTCTCGCCTTCAATTTATTTGGTTTGAATATATATTCACGTTAATATGTTAGTGTACACATACTTTAGACTACGTTAAGAACATAGTAAAGATATGGATTAAAATTTTTATTTTTATTTCATCTTTTAATTTTAAAAGTTAATGGATTAAACTAGACATTTCAACAAATTGGAAATTGAAATACCTACAAACCCTTTTAAATATAATAATTTATTTTCAAAATTATTTCAAACGGTCAGTTCTAAATTAGTTTGTATTAAGAGCTTTTATGATAGCTTCGCTCAGCTCTATTTGATATTGTAAGTTCATGGGAGAAATAGATCCTCACTTTCTTAAATGGAAAGACAAAGATATTAACGATTAAAATAATGAGATCTCTCCATATGGAAATGATAGTAACATAAAGACACAAGATATCCGACAGCTAAAATACAACTTTTCTTAAAACGGTCTTTGAATATTAAAAGTTATAGATCATATATTACTCAATAAGGAAAATATATGAACAACTCGATCATTAAGAGTATGTTCTCTGACCTAATTAGTATACTAGTTAATCATTAAACTAAATAGTTAACGAAAAGTTTTATATAGCTATAGATAAAGAAGTAGCCATTCCGACCTGTGATCTTTAAAAAGTGTTATTAAAGCCTCGTCGAGATCAGCTAGTTATTATTTAGGAAAAAATCATAAGTGGCTAATTGACTTAATGGTAATTATTAAATTAATTTATAGATTTATGTAATTGGATATACTTAACTTAGATGTTGATTAAGTACAATTTTACACTCAAAATAATTGTTAGTGAGTAATTCAAACATCGATATAGTATAATAATAATTTATGTGTTTTACTTTCTATTAAACTCATAATTATTCATTTTAGCTTTAATATAACAAACATAGAGCAAGACATTAAACTTTTGATGTTAGTAAGTTGACAATGATAAAATATGGATACATCTATTTTATATGAATCGTACTTTTTTCTGAGAATATATACCAATAGTATCATATTTGTAACTTTCATATCTGTCCTGTTGATTTATTTATTTATTATTTTTTATTTCAAATACCGAAATTCAAATTACTATACTTGTAACTATTTTTTTTTAAAGCGAAAATGGTAATCTAATATTTTAGGGAAATTTTCATAAATGATGTAATTTTTAAAAATTACAAAAATAGAGTAACTTTCAAAGTAATAATAAAAAATAAAAAAGAATTCTAAAACTAGGTACATAATTGACAAAAATAGGGAAGTATGCAGTCAAAGTAAAATATCATTGTACACCATATACTTTATGTGATGAATTTCGAATTAAATAAAAATGCATGCTCGATTACAATTTTTAAAATGCATGCTCGATTTAATTTAACTTAATATAAATCCTCGATCAGTTAATTTTTCTTTCCAAGAAATGTTCATTTCGTTACATAAAGTTTTTTCTTTGGTAATATCTTATGTAAATAAAATTCGAAACAAATAAATGCAAGCTCAATTTCAATTTTTAAAATGCATTTTTAATTTATTTTAACTTAATATATATTTTAATAATTTAAATTAACGTAATAAAATTTTGGTTTTTTTGGGCTATTAATATGAATAGCCATTTTTCACTATTTTTTAAAAAAGAAAATAGTCTTTTTTTTTTGTTTTTATGAAAATGGTTAACTCATTTAAATCTCACTTTTTTTTTTGTTGAAAGACAAAAACTACAGTTTTTAACGTATGAATGCAAATAAAAATTTTCATATTTGGAAAAACATAAATGAGAATATGTTATAAATGGAAAAATATAAATTGGACAATGTCTTTTTTTTTTCTTCTTCCTGTTTTAGCTTTATATTGCATTTGCGTTGTTTATTTTCCAATATTTTTACCTTTATCCTAATTTTTTATTTACATTATTGATAATGAATATTGAAAACAGTCCATCATTGTTTTTACCTTAAATGCACCCATGCAAATTAAGGCAAATTTTGTATATGTAACTGTTATTTGCAATCTTTTTTTTTATATATTATGATAAATTAATCATCTAACCAAAATAAAATATGGTAGGATTTAGTTAGAGATACCGACAATATAATGGGAAGATAACGGTAACCGAATAAGTTAGCATGTGCTCCAAATGTGGCAGTCATATTAGTGTTTTAAAGATAGATGTAGACAAAAATGTCGATGTTCCAAAAAAATTATAACAAATTATTTCAATATTTTTAAATAAATTAAAAATTATTAATATTAATATTATATTAATAATATTTTCATATTCTGTCAATACCTGCAATTTATATCGAGTGATGCAATTACGTCAATGGATTTTAACTTATAATTTTTTAGTTAAAAGATAAATGTTTAAATTAGTCTTTTTATGGAGAAAAATGTTTAAATATGTTTAAATAGTGGAAATTACTTTTAAAACTACTATTATTTCTTAATGTTTTTTGAACGACTGTATTTAAAAAGAAAATTACATTATTTTTTTTTAATTTTAATATTTTATATCTCTATATATGTAAACTACACCTAGAAACTCCGTCGCCACTGCGAAGATTGTCTCTGATAAAAACTATAAGAATTTGAATAATCTCTCTTCGCCGGCGTAAAATCGGAGATCGGAGAGCAGATTCGTAGAGGCTACAAGGTTCTTGAGTGTTCAAAAATGTCGAATCTCCCTCAATCCATCTCCATGAATGCTCCGTTTGGAGGTCCGGGTCCGTCCATCCCCAGTGCCTCCGGAGCTCCACCCACCAAAGAGCGGAAAATGGCTTTTTCGGAGCAGTTGGTGCTCGACCTCAGCAATCCGGATCTTCGGGAGAACGCTCTCCTCGAACTCTCCAAGGTAAAATTCATTGATTTTTGAGGATTCAGGGGAGGAGGAGCATGTTCGGGGTAGGTATTGGTGTTTCTTGGGTGTGGTGGCGGTGGTAATTAGGGGTTGCAGCTGAAACGGATTATGTAATCGTTGGTTTGGTCGTAATTAGTGGTTTATCTAGAGAATTCGTTACTTGCTGGTGGCTAAGAGAAATTTAGGAGAGCAGCTTAGTTTGTTTGAAATTAAGTTCTTCGTGCTGTATGCTTCATCGCAGCCAAATCGTGGATTGCTGCGAGTTGAACCTAGTTTTGATCCATGGCCATATTAGTACTGTACTAGTTATGAATTAATTTGTACGGAATAGACTGAGATGTTAAAAGAAAGAAACAAATAATTTGACTATCTGATCCCAAGCTGAAAGACTAGTATTCTTCTTCCTCTTTCCTCTGTACTTATTGCTGCAATTTTTTGTATGGAAGTACCAAAAATGGCTGTATGGGTAATGAAAGAAAAAAGTTATCTGTTCATGTTCTGTTTCATGCTTAAGAAAAAGTTTTGGCTCGTCCTCTGCAAGTTTTCGCGAAAGGATTAGCCCATCATGGGGAAATATTTTTGCACTATATGTGCAATCAAACAAGCATATCTGATGCTCTAATTTGTTTCTGTTTTTTATTACAGAAGAGGGAATTGTTTCAAGATTTGGCCCCATTGTTGTGGAACTCTTTTGGAACCATTGCTGCCTTATTGCAAGTATGCTGCTGTAGTTGTCATACTTTGTATGAATTGTCTAATAATTTACATGATATAAAATCTGATGTTTTTTATGTCATTCTTTGTATTTCATTCCTCAATGTTGATTTGTTAATATATATATATATATTTTTTGTTTGGGCTCCAACAGGAGATTGTATCAATATATCCTGTTCTTTCACCCCCAAATCTTACCCCTGCGCAGTCAAATAGAGTTTGCAATGCTCTTGCTCTTCTTCAGGTCACTTTTGTTGCATTTGTTACATTATGGAATCAGATTACATATGGTTTTGTTGTCACTAGTTATACACGCAATCATCTATGTGAAACTACAACTTATGCTGTCTATATCTCTTTCTGAATGTTTTTTGCAGTGTGTAGCTTCTCACCCAGATACAAGGATGTTGTTTCTCAACGGTAATGTTTTTTTATCTCTGTGAGGAGGGAGGGAGGGATCCACTTGGATCCCAAACACCTTAAAAAGGGTCTCCACCACATATTAATGAAGGAACATCATAAAAATATAACTGCTGCATAAGCTATGATGGTCCTTCTCGCTTGAATATCTAGCAAAAACATTTGAATACATATATAATTTGGGTGCTTAGCAGTTAACAGGATTTTTGTTATTCCCTTAACATGCTTGCATTCTCATAATATCTCCCAGTATTCTTACTAGTTGCCTGTTTCAAGAGTTGACTAATCCACTTGAATTTTATCCTTTGCAGCTCACATACCATTGTATTTGTATCCTTTTCTTAACACAACTAGCAAGTCAAGGCCTTTTGAGTACTTGCGGCTTACTAGCTTAGGTGTCATTGGTGCATTGGTGAAGGTATTTCACTTTAAAACATGAGCTTAAACAGTCTCTCTCTCACTCTTTTTTTTTTCTTTTTCCTTTTTATGGCTACTACTAAAGTTTGGATTCCCTTTATAACATTAATACAACAGTATGCAAGTAGAGGATTTGGACTGAAGAAAAAATGTCAGGCTCTGTGAGAATGAAATGAAACTTCAATTGCATAAATTGCTGTACCTTTTGTTTTTAATGCCTCACAAGATCTAAAATGTTTCTTCTCCATGTCAAGTATGGTTAAATTTTGTTTTTTTTCCCTTTGAATGTCAAGTTTCCATTACTATTTAATTGAAGAAGCTATCAGATTAATTGGTGTCATGAGGGGTTTTTAGTTAAGATGAGAATTTGACTTGGTGGTCCATGTATGCTTTCCACTAGCACCCATTAAGACCGATATACCTAAGCCTAAGAGCATACTTCTCACCTTCCCTATCATGTCTCAAGGCGCACATGCAAGCACTGGTAGGAGGTGCTATCCTTTTAATTTTATTGTTACTTGGGGTGAAAGCTATGTCTTGATACATCTTCTTGTTCTTTTGGAAATACAATAAGTTCTGTTTTGCTCCTTGAATTGCTTTTCCAGGTAGATGATACAGAAGTAATAAGTTTTCTTCTGTCAACTGAAATAATTCCTTTATGCCTGCGTACTATGGAAATGGGAAGCGAGTTGTCAAAAACAGTTGAGTTTTCTGATGCTACTTCTATTTCTTTGTTTTATCTTTCTATTTTAATTCTTTAGAAATGTAAAAAGCCTGCAAGTTTATCTCATTTTATACCTTAATTCGTTAGGAAATTATCTATGATAAAATTTCAATAGCAATTTTTGGTAGTTATAAGCTATATTGCAATTAGTGGCACTTTTGATACTCCAAACCTTGTTTATTTAATGGGAATGAAAATGAAGGAATGTCAATATTCTCCTTCAATTCTCTTCCCTCGGTTACCAAAATTAAGGGATGAGGACCCACTCTCAATTTGTGGCCTCTTTCTAAAAACTCTGAAGTATTACAGCTGATTCATTTCTTTTGAGAAGTTAGGAAATGCCACTCCTGTTCTCCATTGGTGGGTCCCTCAACTTTTTGCTTACTCTTTTTTCTTCTCTCAACTTTTCCATGGATCCCACATAGCAGTAAACAATATAAATGGTACTTCTCTCCGATCTCTAATTCAAATATAGTTTTAGTGAACTAATTATTAGAATTATTATACTATGTTCTCACTACGTATAGCATCTGACTTCAAAACTAGTTTGACTGGTTATGTTGTGCTGCAGGTTGCAACATTTATTGTGCAGAAAATTTTGCTGGATGATGTGGGGTTGGATTATATTTGTACTACAGCTGAGCGATTTTTTGCAGTTGGTCGAGTCCTAGGGAGTATGGTTGGAGCTCTTGCTGAACAACCCTCCTCTCGTCTATTGAAACACATAATTCGATGCTATCTTCGATTGTCCGATAATCCAAAGTGGGTGAAAGTAGATTTGCATTTCATTTTGAGGTATTAACCTTTACTGTTTATTTAACTTGTTCTATTGTTCAGGGCTTGTGATGCCTTAAGGAACTGTCTTCCAGACATGTTGCGAGACACTACTTTCAATAGCTGCCTTCGGGTAAGTGTGCCTTTTCTACTTGGACCACATTTCTAGGGCTCCTGATGAGAAACAGTATTTTGGAGAAGACATGCTCATTTAACCCGTGCAGTTTCCCTGTTAAGTTTCTTTTTATTCATGTTCAATGTTCGGTGAAGTTTTGTGACTCTGTTGGCATTGTAGAGTTGGAATGATTATGCCATTGATCTGTGTGGAAGTTTGGTAGTTTAAAAATGGCATAAAATATTTTTAACTGATAATTTAAAGTGATTTAATATCTTGAAAAACATTTTATAGAGAAAACATTGCATTAGGATGAGTTTAATATTACTTTTGGAATGGTAAAAATTCTTTTAGTCTGCTAAAAATAATTTTCAAAATTTGTATGCTTCCTAATCAAAAGTAATTTTAAAAAATTATGAAATGAGCCTTTACATGATAAGGGACGGATTCTATGGAGTGCTGGTTTTTTTGTGTTTTTGTGGAGACATTTGGCTTTTATGGAATTGCAGTATTTTTAGAGGGGGATTCAGAGGCCTGAAGAACACAAAAGAATTTTGATTAGGTTTAGCACCTAGCTAGGTTTAATGCTTCTCTTTGGCTTTGGTCATCAAGAGTTTTGTAATTATTCACTAGGTTTGATTCTTTTAGATTGAAGCCTTTTTTTTATTGGTTAGTTTGGTTTAAGACCCCAAGGGGCGGCCCGGTTGGCAAGGGTTTGGGGTCTCTTAGTCATACCGGCTTAGAGGTCTCAAATTCGTGTCTTCAGATGAGTTTAATATCAAAAACTCTTGATATCTCTCGGGTTTGGGCCTTTGAACGGGTGTCGATGTCCTTGGGTATAATATATTATATTATATATATATATATATTTAGTTAGTTAGTTTGGTTTGGCTCCTTTTGGTGAAATAACTTTTTCCATGTCAGTTTTGTACTCTTTCATGTTTTTAAAATGAAAGCTTCTTTTCTCATACAAAAAAAATCCTAAAGTGACAATACTTTTGGAAATTAGTCTTCCTTTTGAAAATACTTCACATAGAAGTAGTGCTCTAAAGATGATCTCTTACCCACTTTTAATTAGCTGGTTTCCTAAAAGTGCTCATAAAAAAAGTGTTTCAAGTCTAAATATGCTCGTAAAAATGGTGTTTTTCCGAACTCGGTCTAAAAAATCACTTAAAACCTTAATGTTCACAGGAGGATCCAACCACAAGGAGGTGGCTGCAACAGTTGCTACACAATGTAGGAATGAGTAGGGTTCCAGCACTTCAGGCAGGAGCTGGATTTGATCATATGATGGTGAACTAAACAACTGAATTGATGATTATGTATGTTTCAAATTTTAGTCTTGTTATATAGTCTCACAGTTTGCAGCAGTGTCAAAACTTATTTTTTTCTCTGCTGCATTTATTTGTAAGCATTTGATTTTTTTTGTAATTAGGGATGTTTGTGTCTGAAAAAGAAAATGCATTTTGCTCGAATGACCGAGGCTTTTCCGAGTAAAGGAATTATACATGTTCATATCTACTGATACGAAGTGCTTTTAGTTCCTCGGTTCGTTCGCTCAAATAATCAAATTCAAATGTCAAACACCATTTGGATTGCATGTCCTTTTGGTGGGTATCTTTATCCCTTGAACCTGTTCGTTTCGTTTTTACTAGGAATGCTTGAAACTCTTTCGGAGGACAAGATACTTTAAACTTGTCTTTTTCCTTTCCTTCTCTCAATTCTGTTGCACACTCTATTGTATTGTGCATCCATGAATTTATTCCTCATTTTTTACGACCTTACTGGAACATTGAACAAGATCTGTTCTATAGGTGGTACAATTGTGTCTTTGAGAACATTGAACAAGATCTGCTCTTAGTTGTACAATTGTGTCTTTGAGAACATTGAACAAGATCTGCTCTATAGGTTGTACAATTGTGTTCTAAGGAGCATTCTTCCTTTTAACTTTTAAGCATCTTCCTGTAAGATAATATGGCGGTTATAATGACTAAATAGAGAGGAAAAGAGAGATGGAGTTCGTTACAATGCGATTTGATTAGTTTCCTAACTTAAATATTTGTATTTTAGGTTAAATTATAAGTTTAGTCCTCTGTGAATTATTAGTAACATTCATATTTCTTGTTTTTGATTTTCTATTTTTGTTTCTTGTTTATTTTTTTAAATAAAAAAAGTATTGCGTTTGATAATTGTTTCTGTTCTTTCTTTTTTCAAAAAAAAAAAGAAGCATAAATATGTCTCGTAATCATTTTTTGTTCTTGTTATTATAATTTTAAATTAAAGAAAAAGTAAAAGTATTGTATGAAAATTAATGTTTTAAATTAAATATTCAGAAATTTTGCATTTTATTTATTTTTAAATACTTTTGTATGCATTTTATAAGTTAATAATTATAAAAATAATATTTTTATTTATATTTTGAAAAAAAATTAAAAACACATAAAAATTTTTGATTTTGTTAATTTTTATACAATATTGGAAATATTTCTTAAAAACAAGAAACGAGAAAAATGAATAGATATCAAGTTTCTCAKAAATTGAAAAATCAGAAAAAAGAAACAGCATAATTTTGTGTTTTACAAAGTATTCAATAGAGCTCATGATTTTTCATTTTTTTTAATGTCTAATAGAGTCGATGAATTTAAAAATTGTTTAATTATTCCTCGAATTTTTGATTAGCTATTTGACATTTCTTAAAATTCATGACCCCTCGGATGTGTCTAGATCTGATAGGATTTCAACCTTTCAATTTTGTGTCAGTAAAGGATATGAAGATTTATTAAGCATATTTAAAAGTTTAGAAGATTTCTTAAACATATTTTAAAATGTAGGGACCAATAACATAAATCTGAAAGTTTAAAGAGTAAATTTATATGCCTAAGTGTAGTTTCTTTCAAATCATTAACGACTTGTTTGATAACCATTTCGTTTTTGGTTTTTGGTTTTTGGTTTTTAATTTTTCAAAAACAGGATTGTTTGGTAATCAATTCAATTTTCTGTTTTTTGTNAAAAAAAAAAAATTCAAAAACAGGTTTTTCGTTTTCAAAATCTCATTTCTTCTTCTAATACTCAACTTTTTCTTTCTTTCTCATATTTATCCCTAAAAAATTTATTTTTTACTCTAATTTTTTTTTATTTCTAAATTTCTCTCTACAAAATGTATTTTTTTCTCTTTAAAATTTTCATATTTTGAATATTTATTGTTGTTTGTCTCTCTTCAACATTTCCTGTATTTTTATTTTTTTTCTAGCAGGTTAGTTTCATTTCTCTCACTAAAAAATTAATATTTTTTCTAACTTTTTTCTCTCGAAAATTTCATATTTTATAACTTTTCTGTCTCTCAGTAATCTATTTTTTTTCTAAAAATTATATTTTATTTTCTCGTTCAATTTTCTTTCACTGTAACTTTTATTTATCTTTGTTATTATTTATTTTATATAAAAATTATATTTTGAATATTGTTTTTATCTCTAAATTTGTTTCCACTATAATTTTTCTCTTTCTTTATAATTTCTTTTTTTTTCTTTAACATATCTTTTCCTCTCGACTTTATTTTTTTCTCCAAATTTTTTCTCTTTTTTGTCTTTAATTTTTCTCAACCTATTTTTTTCTAAATATTTTTATTTATCTCTCTAAAATTTATCTTCCAAACGTTTATTTATATCTCTATTTCATGTTTCTACATTAGGGGAAGACAAAGATTTTCGTAGGATTGGGTCCCAGAAATAGAAAATGCATGTTCTGACCTCATCCTTGTCCCCGATTCCATTTTTTAAATAATTAATATATTTTTATTACACTTTTTATATTTAAATTATAAAAATAATTAAAAACAATTATAAAACCGATAATTTTTCTCGATAACATCTCTCGGGCCCAAGAACGAGGTGGAGACGGAAACGGAGACTAAAAATTTGCACGAGCCCAATAATGGGGGAGAGCATCCTCACTCGCACCCATATCATCTCTACTCTATAAAAAATTTCTCTCTCTAATATGTATTTTCAATTTTCTAACTTTTTAAAAAAAAAAACTAAAAATTGTTACCAAACATGTTTTGGTTTTTTGTTTTTTAAAAACAAGAAACAAAAAATGGTTATCAAATTTTTATTTTTTAAAAACAGAAAACCAAAAACTAAAAACAAGAAAAACCAAAAACCAAAAACTAAAATGGTTATCAAACGGGCCATAAAATTTTAAGTTTCATTTCAGAGTGCTCTCTATGAAAGAAAAAATGTATTTTGATTTATGTCTTGATGATATTAATTGTTGATGTGGGATGGTAATATGCAATTATCAATGAAAAGGTCGATATCTTAATTTTGTGAAAATCTCAATGAGTATATCAATAAAGTATTGATTTCGACAAACATTCTTCGAAAAACCATGGAAACCTAAAATTCTGATAATTTTGTAGAAGAAGAATAAGGAACTTTCCTCTTTTAAGTGACTTAATTTGTCCTCCTAGTATTTGCCAACGGAACAAACCAAAAAAAAAAAGAAAAAAAAACTAAATATTGAAGACTAAAACATACATTTACAGGGCTTTATAGATATTTATATTGGTAGGACAAAATACATTTTCGAAGGATTAACTGTCTATTTGATCCCTAAAATTTTAAAATGATACTTTTGATTCTCATAGTTTGTAAAATGGTTCTAAAGCTCCTTAACATATTTTTACTGTTAAAATAACATGAAAATTAAATGACTAATTGTATATTAATGATTTGACAGAATATAATAGTCTGGTAATATTTTTAATGTGACTAGACTTTTCATCTTCTTTCTTTCCTCATTTTCCTTCCTTTTTGTTTTTCTTTCTCCTCCTTTTCTCCTTCTCCAATGAATTGTTGCCACCTCGCTCCTCTTTGGGCGACAGCTCTTGCCATCATCAAGACTTCTCGTCCATGTAGGATGAGAACTTCCTCTTCATTCCACTTCATGGGAAGAGGAATCCTCCGTACATGGAAGTGGAAAATCAAACTAGATTTGGACGACATTAAGTTCTTTTAAACTACGAAACGGAGGTTGTTATCTAGATATGTGTGAAACGAAGGGCACGACAATTTATCAGATAATAGGAGGAGAAGAGAGAGGAAGGAGGGGGAAGTAAAAGAGGGAAAGATATTTTGCAAATAAAAACATTTTTTTTTCACAAAAAATAAAAATATTATTAAATTATTATAATTTGCAAAATCAGCAATAGTGCCACTTACCTCAAGGATCTCAAGATTATCAATTAGGTCAAAATATGTTAAAAGGACAATTTATAATTCAATTTTAGAGACCAAATAAACCTATACTCGAAATTTAAAGGACTAAAGTAGTATTTTACCCTAATAAATATTTACAAAAATATATATAGAAAGGCAGATGTAAGTTAAAAAAAAAGGGAGGAGATTCCCCTAAATACAAGAATATTTTAATATTAAAAAGATAGAGCTTTTGAGTCCATAAAATATCAATTTAGGCATAGCGTGCGCAAATATGGGAAAGAAAACTACAAATCCCTGATATAAATAATTAAAATAATCGAAAAATATATCAGTGTAAAAATTCGATTATCTCAAATAATTCCATAAATATTTCTCACACCAATATATTTCTTGTAATTTTTTTAGTCGATATTGGATGGCACGAAAATGGGCCACCGACAGAAAAAGCCCAGAATTGAGAAGCCCAACGGGATAGCCGTATAAAGCCCTAAACCCTGCATCGAGCCTCTTCTTCAACTACGTAAACCCTAAACCCCCCGCTTCTGACGTCTCTGCATTTCAAGATCCTTGAGGTAACATCTAATTTTTCGGTTCAATTTTGTTTCCCTATACATGGTATTTTCTGTTTGATGCGCTACGAAAATTTCGAACATGAATTGAATTTCCTATCTCTCTCAACATTCAATCTAGGTTCGTAGTTCTCGATTCTCGCTTGGCAGGTATGTAACTTGCTTTATACGATATTGTGCTTTAGGATGCTTGCACCTGATTTTGGCAATGATTTCATGTTTTTCATACTGATACAAAGCATATGAGGACTGCTATTAGATGATTTGTTTATGTTTCAACGTCAAGTTTTGTCAAAATTTTGGCCCCCTTTATTTTCCATTGATGAACTTTTATGACATGCTCCGTGTCTAGAAAAGTTGATAGGTAACTATTTACCATTAGCCTATTTTCTTTTCCTTAAAGACATTTACCTATAGACTTTGATAGATTTCATTGGTTGTTCTTTAACTGATTTTCCTCCTTAATTTATTTATTTTTGTTCTGGCGTGGAAAAAATATGATATGATAGGGTTCTTGTCCTTTTGTCTACTCATATATCAGACAATCTTCATATTTTTCTGATAGTAAAAATTCATATTATGTATAATTTTACTGTAAATTCAGAATGACTATTTTTCTTTTTAATAATTCTATTCTCAGAATCTAGGAATATGAATTTGAACAATGTCAAGGTTCCCAAGGTACCTGGTGGAGGTGCAGCTTCTGCTTTAGTGAAGATTGGAATTATTGGTGGGCTTGGGCTATATGCGGCTGCCAACAGTCTCTACAATGTTGAGGGAGGGCATCGGGCTATTGTGTTTAACCGTCTAGTTGGTGTTAAAGATAAGGTTGTTAAGGATGAATAAACCACCGCTCAACCCAAAAGCTTAAGCTTATGGGTTGGGTAAATTTAATTCATTTATTTGGATATCTAACACTCCCTAAATAATATGGTCCAGATTTGAAACATTTTTATAAATCAATATCCATTTGGTTAGAAAATTTTACCTGTTTCTTGGCTGATTTTAATATATAAGCACCTAAACCTCCTGGTTGCTGTAAGTAATCTAGATTGAGCAATTTCTGCTTCTCAAAACTTTCAGGTTTATCCTGAAGGAACACACCTCATGATTCCCTGGTTTGAGAGACCAGTCATATATGATGTCCGTGCACGACCCAATCTAGTGGAGAGTACTTCTGGAAGCCGAGACCTCCAGATGGTATGATATATTTTTCTCTTTACTTCAATTTTTCTAATTTTTTTTTTAAATTGTTATTGAATGCATGCTTAGACTCTGCTTTAGACTACTTTGAATACTTTTAACAATCAAGTGATTATCCCAAAACAGGCGAGTGTTTGGTGTTTCTCCATGTGTTTTGTTTCACCCCATTTAGAATTTTGAACTTAATGACTTGTATCAGCTGGATTTAACATGTGCAGTATCCATTTTTTTTACTACTGCAATATCCATTTCTTAAAGCATCTTCCATCCGTGTTTGGGAAATCCAATAAAAGAAAGGCTCTCCAATCTTGCCTAACAATAGAGAGGCTGTAGTTACAAATTAATTTCCTATTTCTATGGTACCACCAAGAGGCCGAGATATGTGCAACATTGATAAGAGTCTAAAAGCATTGCCTTATCTTTGAAAGACTGAAGATTTCTTTCCAGCCAGATATTCCAAAAAAGAGCTCTAAAGTCACACTTCCAAAGCACTTTTGCCTTTCATTTAAAATGCGACCCATGAAAACATTCAAGCAATCAAACATCAGCATGTCTAGGCAAACAAACAGAAAATTCAAAGGTATCAAACAGGACCCGCCAGCCCTTATTAGCAAAAGGGCAGTGTAGAAACAAACGATCTAAAGTCCCGGCCTCCCCCAAACAAAGGCAGCAGGCAGTGGAGATAGCACTCGACCTGGACACCTTTTTTTGTAATTTTTCTTGGGTATTCAGAGATCTGTTGACTATAGACTGACTATTTGCAAGAAATTTTTGGAACTTGTTAGAAGTTTCCTGTCTCCAAATTATGGATTTGATCAATTCACTTACTCGTCAGGTTGCTTTCTTGTTTATTAATTTTGTTCTGTAAATGACTTCTGTGATCTGGCTGTTGTGGGCAATATTAATCTATACCTACAATGAGCACGTTCCTTGCTGATTTTAGTTTTGTTTCTGAGTTTGGTAATTCTGTAGGTGTTTCAATTATTCATCTGCATTATGCTGAATAAATATAGATCTTGGATTTTATATGTAGGTGAAGATTGGACTTCGAGTTCTTACCCGTCCACTACCAAATGAGTTACCTACAATATATAGAAGGTTGGGTGAAAATTATAATGAAAGGGTCCTGCCTTCAATCATTCATGAAACTCTGAAATCTGTAGTTGCTCAATATAATGCCAGCCAACTTATTACGCAAAGAGAGGTAAAGCTAGAACTTATTCTCTTCCAGTAGAATTTCCAGTATATGTCTGCCTCATTTGCTGCATCGATTCAATTTTCTGTTTACAGCCAATTGATTCTAGGCCTTTCTTGTGCTTTATATATTTGCCTCACCACGCCAGTCATGTTCTGTCTGACTGTTTCTTTTCAGGCTGTTAGTAGAGAAATTCGAAAGATTTTGACTGAGAGGGCAGCCAGTTTCAATATTGCTCTCGATGATGTGTCTATAACAAGTTTAACTTTTGGAAAGGAGTTTACAGCTGCGATTGAAGCCAAACAAGTGGCTGCCCAAGAAGCTGAAAGAGCCAAATTTGTTGTTGAGAAGGCTGAACAGGACAAGAGAAGTGCTATAATTAGAGCACAGGTGAGGTGGATGATGATAAATGAATTAAATACCAACCCTTCTTCTTGGGGGAAAGGGTGAAAAGCAAATCTCTAAAAGTTCATCATGCATCCATAATTTGCATGCGTTACATTTATATCCAGAAGTAGTTAAGGATTGGGAGAAGGGTAAAGTAGATAGATTGGTATTTGAATCATATAGACGACCATCTTTTGTCTGAAGTGAATTTTTTTGATCTGGATACCAGGGAGAGGCCAAGAGTGCCCAGCTGATAGGCCAAGCTATTGCCAACAACGCAGCGTTTATAACTCTGAGGAAGATTGAAGCAGCAAGAGAAATTGCACATACTATCTCAAACTCAGCCAACAAGGTTTTCCTCAATTCAGATGATCTGTTGCTGAACCTTCAGGAGATGAATTTGGAGCCCAGTGGGAAGAAGTAATCACACATCCCTTAAACTTACATGCCATTTTGTCTTGTTTCTTTGATTAACTGTGAATGTTGGAGCATTTACGTAAAAGACTAGTTGTAAACAAATGGAAATGTGGGCTATTCTCTCTTTTTAAACAACTTGAGCCTGGTTTTGGATGGCTGGCTGGCTGATCGATTTATTCAGATCCTCTTGAGATAGTTTCACCTTATAATAATGTAAGTACTTTTTTAATGCCATTTGAACTGTTTTTTCCCGTGGATTGCCCTTACGTAGTCGGTGAACTCGTTCTAGTGCTAGGACTTGTCATGAGTTCCTAACTATTACAGGAGCCCCTCTCGAAAGTCGAGACGACTACGAGTTTTTTGTTCCAAGGGTTTGAATCATGGACCAAGTATCATCTTTCCACCATTATGGTCAACTTGATCACGAGGAGATAGTCCTGAGTAAGAACAGTTGGAAGGTGAGATTATAGTTGTAGACCATTTTCTTGATGGCAAATAGTTCTTTTGAATGCTGCTGAAGCTTCCTCCAGTAAATGCAACTGCTAAACTAATCCAACCTACAACAATCAAATTTCATAGTTCATGAGTGAACTCGACGCAACTTCGCAACCCGACATGGCTCCATGATCTAGTCAATCCAGCAAGGGCTTATGGCCTGTGGCATTTGTGGCTTGTTGCCTGTTTAGGTTCTCGACACTTTTCAAGTCATTGAATAGATCTCTAGATTTTACTTTCAGAAAAGAAGTCCTTTTTCATTTTCACTTCTAATTATTTTTCGTAGATTTGTTTGATATTTGTTTTTTAGGTTCTATGATAAATATGATGATTACTGCCTCAATATTTATTAATCTCATGGCTATACTAATAAATATATATTTTACATATAATTAAGTGTAATGATATATATATCTTTGAGTGTAACAACACGTAGGATGGAGATTCTAACCTCAATTTTTTATCGAAGATATATGTTATAATTAATTGAACTATGCTCGACTCTATAATTAATGCATGTGCATCTAATGTTTAAAATAGTTTTTGACCGTAAAATTTGAAAATTATTTGGAATAAAAACGACAAAAGGTGACATAGTTTTGATAGTGTACTAATAATTAATTTTTGAAACAAAGTATAATAGTGTTTTGTTTTTTTTCAGTAAGACAATAAATTACAATATGATAAGTAAAAAGAAAAAGGAATCAATATGAAAGGATGATTAATGTCATTACAATTATTGAAATAAAATTAATTTCATAAACTATTAAAGTTATCGTCTTTATCAAATAGAACAAATTAAATTAAGATATGTGATTTTTAAAAAAATTTAATAGTAAAATTATTTACTAGATAGCTATGATTAAAGTTAAATATTTAATGAGGACAAAGAGAGAAATTTAAAATTTTACTCTTCCCAATACATTTTTTAACATTGAAAAATTAAAAAGCTTTTATTTTTAAAGGACAAACATACCTGATATAATATGTTTTAAAAATGATAACAATTGAAAAGATAAACTTATTCATACTGTCGCAATTATTAATGATTTTGTAAGTAAGTGAATCAAAATCCTTGTCCAATCATGGGTACGTTTAGGAGTGATTTTGGTATATTTGGAAGTGATTTAGGTTTTTCTGTTGATCAGCAAATAAGAAAATTGATTTTAATAAAGTTTAAATTCACTTTTAATTGATTTTCAAGGTGTCGGGTAATTTTAGAAAATCAATTATATTTGAATCTCTTTTTTCAAAATCACTAATTCTACCATCATTTTCAAACACAACCTACACCTATTAGAATAATATTTATAATCCTTTCCTATTATGTTTTTATTTTAGAAAAATAAAGCATAACTTCTAACAATAAAAAAATAATAATAAGATGTCGAAACAAAAATATAAAATTTCTCCTCTATACTCTCATTTTATTTTTTAAAAACTCACATTTATTTAATTCAAGGAAACCAAAATAAAAGGGTACATATAATAATTAAAACAAATAAATTTAGAAAAAACTAAATAAATGTAATAATTTCTCCTTTATATAGCTTATAATATATAAACTAGTGTTTAGTCCCTTCCTCTTTTCCATTTTTGACCATTATTACTCCCTCCATTTGATAAATTTCAAAGTTTTTGTTTTGAAATTTAGGTGTAGCACTTTATTTTGCTTTGTTTGTATTACTCTTTGGTTTAGGTTGCTTTTTATTTTGCTCTCCATTATTTTGGAAACAAGTTTTTCTTTCTCTTCCTCAAATTATTGAGATATTTCGTTCCTCTACCATTAATCACGTTGTTAAATTTTCATCAACATGTTAACATTTTCATCGATCTTTTATATATTCGTGGGTTCGACATCAACATAATTGAGTGAATCAACGTTTCCATTGCATCGCAATAAAACCAACAAATATAAAAAAAATCTACAAAATATTACTAATGTGAACATAATATTAATAATAAGAAATTGTGTATTAATATAAATATATCTTATTTTTCTGATTTTTCCAGAAATAACGATGGACATTGATATTTTAACAATATTTTTATAAAATTTTGAACTTGACATTTTCATTTCCGTAACATCTTAAACCTTTCTGTGGATTATAATTTTTTATATTAGGGCAAAATCAAGTATACAAATAATTAGTCGTCACATTTAAAAATTAAACAAAAATAAATAAATAAATAAAAGAAGGAGAAAATTCATTTCTTTCCTCCCTCTCCTCTCTTCATCTCTCACAAGAGGGACCAATGATTCAAAACTCTTGGTGAAAATTCAGACACCATTTCGAAATTCTAGTGAAAACTTGAAAAATATATATATATAATTTTCAAAACCCCCATTCTTTTAATTTTTTAAAAAAAATTTGACTAAAATTATTAGTATTTGAAAAAAAAAAGAAGAAAAAAGAAAAAAACAACAACAAGAAGAAAATCATTTTCAAACAACTGGGCTGAATGAAATTAATTTCGGATTTTGATTTCTTTTTTCCTCCAACTTTTTCTAGACAATGACTTATTTAGGACTATATTGCCCCCCTTTAAAATTTTCTTCCTCATCCACATGTACATTATTCTAGAGAGGGCCCATTTGAATAATGAAAGTCATATAATGCTTGATGTGAGTGAATTCTCCATTATACCCTCTCCATTTTTTTCATCCACAAATCTTTTTTCTTTTTTCTTTCGATATATATATATATTTTTAATTCTGACATCACAATCAGACAATGCAAGATTCCTTGGTAGATTCCAAATCTTGAACGCTTTTCTTTGATAAGTTATATTTTATTGGTTTTTTTTGTTTGTTTTTTTGTAATAATTTTATGGTGCACAATTTATTTTTATATTTATTTATTTTATTTATTTGTGGTGTATTGGATAACTTATAAAATAAGTGGTATATTGCATAAATTATAAAATAGATATTCAAAGAAGGCTTTTCTTTTTTAGTTTTGATTCAATTCAGATACTTGAAATGATTAAATTTTATTTGGAGTTTTCGTTTGATTTTTTTTTTTAGAGAAACTAAGAAATTCGAATTGAATTGTATATTTAAAATATATTATTTCAAATATTAGCTTAAAAAACTAAAAACTAAAAACTAAAAAATATTCCAAAACATAAATTTCCTTTTTATATTTATATTTTTTATTTTTGGAAAAATACCTCAGATTCATCCAGACATTTTAGAAGGTTGACAAATAGTTTTAAATGGTCTATGCTCTTTTCACCCTTAGCCAATTAAAAGAAAATTGACAGAGCAGTTTAGTTGCTGACTGTACTTGCTAGTGTGGTAAAATATATTAGTTTAATATTTCTTTCTGATAATTAGACTTAATCTCTCGTTTCGTTTTTATTATTCTTCTTCCTATCCCATTCTCCCTTTCCTCCAAAGAAATTCACTTCTACCCTTCTCATCGGTCGTCACTAGCTGCTAAGTCGTCGCAATCATTCCTGGTTCGCTGTCATCCTAAACGACTAGGTTTGAATCATTCCTTCATTGTCACAGACACCACCTCCCACCTGTCGTTATATCCTAATCATCATCTTAAGGTCATGAGACTAAAAGGATGAATCATTTGTTCTAAGCGAAGGAACTAACGACTAGAACAAAGGTTGTTATAAATCTAAAATGAGTGAGGAACTCTATTCCTCATTTGATATGGAATGAGCGCGTGGAACATTCTTTGGTCATTCCAGATCGAACGAGGAACAAACTCACTCCACCGAATGTGGAACCGTCCCACGTTCTAGATATGAAGCGTTTCTAATTGTTCAATGCAACGTAGAATGCAAAGAAATATACGTCGATAGCTTAAGTGGCAACGACAAGTGGAAAGGACGCGACGAGGTTCACTGGAGGAGGGGGAGAAGGAGAAAAGGAGAAGAGGGAAGAAAGAGATTTGAAGTCTAGCCACCAAAAAGAAATGTTAAATTAATATATTTTACCAAATCCACAAATATATACTATCATTAACGAAATAGCCACGTCACTTTTCTATTAGTAACTAATAGTCAAATGAGTTTAGACACTATTTAGAATTATTTTCTAAATTTCAGGACAAAAAATATCTATTTTCAAATACCAACTAGACACAACCTCTAAATTTTAGGGACAAAAAATATATCTCGTCCTCCCTACAAAACTTAAATTTTGTCTTATAGGTTATTTAAAGTTAACCTCATTGTTTTAATTCAATAAAAAATAGAGCTTCAATTTTGAATAAAGAATAAAATTAATACTTTTTAAAGTAAATTACAAATTTAGTCTTTAAATTTTTGGAATTGATTCTAAATTTAAAAAATATTTAATAGGTCATTAAACTTTTAATTTTGTATCTAATATAGGTCCTTAAATTTTAAAAATTTCTAATAAAATCATAAACTTTTAATTTTTTTAATAAGTTCCTACTTAATTAACATGTTTACGAGCAATGCTTAAAATTTTTTATACTTTTTTTTTAATACAACAAGGTGCGAAAAGGAAAATATTTGACTTGTTCAATAGTAGGGAGTAATTTTGTCCTTATCACCATTAAACATTTGACAACCAATAGCGAGAAATACAAAAACATAAAGACTTTTTAGAAAATTCTCCAACTGAAGGGAAGAAATAAATGCCTTTATCATCGATCTATGCTATGCTCCCGAACCTTTCTCTGCTTGGTTTGAGGGTTATTTATTTAGTTTTTGTTACTTGACGTTATTGCAAGTTTTGTGTAGTTTTTTGGATTCATTTGGTCATTTT